TTAATATCTTATTTAGAATACTTATTATCTTTAACTTATTAATAATATATTAGTAGTCTATATATATGGCATAGGTTTATAAATATTATTTTAATTTAGTAGTATTATTAATATAGTAGTTTTATATCTTTAGCAGGTCTTTAAAGCTTATAAATAAATATAATAATAATTAAGAGTTAATTAGGCTTATAACTTTAATAAATCCTATATATATTTAGGGCTAATAGTATTATATTTTTATATAATTTATATACTATCCAGCATATCTAATATCAGTCAGGCTAGATATATTAAGTAAATAAAAAATTAGAGTATAATGCTAACTACATTAGGCTTAGCTAGTTAGGTGACGGTGTAAATATACGCGAATCATCCTGATTGGCAGCCTTAAGGTCATCCTTTCCTGCAACAGATTCTCTGACAATCTTGCCGTTTTGGTTGGAAAATAGGACGCCTAAGTAGGCAGTGGGGAATTTTCTTTTGCTCATTGGCTTAAATACATCCTTCTGCCTAGACCAACGCGGAGCGGATTATCTAAACTCCAAAGTGGCAGACGGTCCGTGCTCGTTTAACTCATTAGAACCTGAAATTTAAGATCTTGCGGCTACGGAGTATTAGTTTCTCACTTTCATTCCTCTGCAAACATTAAATTTCTATTGAGAAAGATGGAAGAATCAGGGGTCTCCAGTCAGCTCTCATCGTCTCCTACGCGATTCCCAGATTGCTGCTTGGCCATCTCTAGCACCTTAATTTCTTCTCTGATTACGCTTCTCCCTAAGAAACCGGCATTCACTCTCTCAATAGGCAGTGGATCAGGCCTCCTGGAGAGTCTACTGAATGAAAGCAATGGAAAAGTATCTGTACAGGGAGTAGAAGTAGGTTCAAATGTCAACCGACATCTGGCTGAAGAAGATATGCATGTTGTGGCCGGCACTTGGGGTCTCTATTCTCTTGCCCAAGAAGCCATAGCCTGGATGTTCATCTACCCACGCGAACCCAAGCTCATCACCAAATACATTGACACATACGGTGATGGCAATGTTGAGCTGATCATTTGGCTCGGGCCACGAGTTGATTGGCCTGAGTATGAGCTGTGCTTTCGGCAATCCTCGTTCTCCGTGCTGAGTTTCCCAGAAATCGGGCTGGCACAGTATGAGATTGCGGTGGTTGCAAGAAAGTCATGATATACAATAATTATATCATCTTCAAGCAGGAGTATCTTATCAAACTCAAACAAATCAGACTGAAAAGGCCCAAACCTCCCCTGACTCCAAAGGTTTTCGTCCAAAGAACTCGCCGACCAACACGATGATCATGTCGAGTATTGCGTGAATCTGCCTTGATCCATCATCATAGTCTCCATCAAGTTGATTGATCGCATCTTCTTGCACTCTGGCCCATAGCTGTGCTTTGACTGCCTCTAATTTCACATCCTGATCTATTATATATGGCATACTTACATAATTGCCATCTCCACGCTCAGGCTGCGCTTCCTGATCTGATTCACGTTCATCTTACTTCCTGGCATGTATCAGCCAGTTGCCCATGCTCTTTGGCCTCTGGCTTTGATGATTCTTCCTCTTCCATCGTCAGTTATCATCCGCTTCCTGGATTCTTTTGGAGATTCTCCCCGGCGCGTTTTCCAAGATCACGGATATTCTCAACTTCTTCCGTTGACAGTTTCCCGATTTCTAGACATAGTTTCAGCAAAACCAAGCCCAGGCGCCGTTGCAGCGAACCCTATCCGCGTCACCTCTTTGCAGAACGTCGGAGAACAGTCGCCCTGGTTGAAATTTGTTTTGAAGGCAAGGTTGGTAGTTACAGCAGAAAGGTTGGGAGCTCAATTAAGCTCTTATCGCCTGTCTAGCTTATCGGTAGTTGCTGTATGGTTGATCTACAATGGTCAGACAGTAATACCAGTCAATCGTACTCTAATTTTCAATATAAAATCCCATTTTCTTACAAAAAATAAGGACATATTTTAGTACTAGAGGACTGGAGAGTTGTTGAGAATATATGTAGGTTCTAATTTTATCAGATATCTAAGAATAATGTGGAAATAAGTGGAAATAAGTATCTTGGGTGATTGTACTCCGTAGCACAACCTAGTTAAGCAATAACAAGATTTCAATAGCTCTCCATGAAGTCCACATCACCATGGTAAGAAGAAGACATAGTGATATTCTAATTATTCTATCTCTTCTATTTACAAGCTCTAATTCCTTACATTGCTTTAGAACAGCAAAAGACATAAATAGTTTCATTGATTAAAGTAAATCACAACAGAAACAAACATATACTCGGACTTGAACAGCGTCGGAAAATCTAAGGGTATTGCATGCCTTGTGGCCTTTCATATCCAACTGTAGATTGTGCCCGCAGCAACGACTCCTTTTCTTCTTGAATAAGAGCACAGGGCCGGCAGAAGCAGGTTGCCAGCCAGTCTCTGGCGCTATTGCCTTGAATGCCATACTGGTCCCGCATGTCGCGGCGCTTGACTGCGTGAAGGATGGCTGACCCGCCTCCGAGGCAGGTAAGCGCGTGCCAAGCCATGCACTATAAACACAGATCAATTCATCAGCCTTGGTAGATATCATACTAGCCATGTTGTTGACATACCATATGATTGCAGCTTCTGAAGTTCGATAACGTTGGGTCCTTATTCCGAGCCTGAGTTCTGCTGAAGAGATATGCTGGGCATATGAATCCCACAAGACCTATAAAACGGGGAGGTTAGCGAGCTCTATAGTGAGTAGAGGGAGGGAGGGAGGTCGAACAGGTCTTTCCAGGACTCCAGAACTGCCAGAAGGAGCTGGACCACTCTGGACCAAACGAAGCTGGTGGAAGACCGTCAAGCGGCGGGCCCTGATCCCCGCCTGGGCTGTAGGACATAGTAGGGCCTTGCCTCTTCTCATTGTTCATCTTGCGGGTTGAAGCAGCGTATAATGTAAGATAATGGTAGGGGAAATGACACTGATTCAAACAAGATAATAAGGGAGGGGTTGAGGCGAGCAAATGTATGAAAGGAGAGATATATAGTTTTAGATTACAAGCACAATACAGGGGACAAGAGGAGATATTATACGAGTGACTTCCTCTATCCCAGATGGAATCAAAGAAATGCTATTCAAAAACAGAAGGAACACATGCAACCCGTGCTCTGCCGCTTTGAGCGCCTGTTAGGGCTGAGTAAATATTGTTGAGACTGGGCAGGTCTGGGGGAATGTAAGATGATGATAGGCTTGTGGCGCAGGGTGTGCCCCCAGGCGGTGGCATCTGACCTCCCCAAAAGAGCTCCCAATGTGCGAGCAGCGTTCCTCTCCAGTAGCAATGCTTGTACTTCAACGGCACACCGCCCAGTAAGCCGCATCTACGCCTAGTTTCATCCTACCTCTATTGCACGTTTTTGCTTTCGGTAAGCTTCAGCTGAGCCTCTATCTGGCTCCTTCGCTACCAAAATTCAGGTTGCTGACATCCTTCGCAATGCAGTTATAGTGCACATCTCCGCGACTAAAAATCCAACAATAATAGCATCTCGGGTCTTGGCCCCCCAATGGGGAAATTCAGTGGCCGCTAAAAGAGTGGGGGCGAATATAAAAGCTTAATCTGCCCCATCTAATAAGTTCCGGCCAGTTAAGAAGCAGTACTGAGGATCAGAGCTGGAGATGAATAAGATTAGAGTTTTGCCAGTCCAGGCTGTACCCCAGATCAAGGATGGTTTGCCAAGCTGAATGCCTCAAGGTTACCCTTTACAGAAGAACAAATTAGAATGTCTATCAATATCTAGCAATAAGCACTTAGTTCAGATACAGCTTTAAGGCTGTCCAATAGACCCACTATATTAGCACCAAATTAGGCCTCTAAAAAAAGTCCATGCTTACTGCAGGTACAACATAGCCATATATAAACATGAACCCATGAACCCATCCATATACCACTCCTTCTAGGACATAAGTCTACTTTCCTGTCAAGATGCCTTTTGATGACATGAACTTACAGGGTGAAGAATATACCATGGCCGCGCAGGAAGACAATCGGGCGGCAGAGAGTGATGTCCCTCCTGGCTTGCCTCTCAATCTCCGTGATCACAAACGCGCAATATCTTTGACTTGGGGATTCATATTGCTCACGTCTTGTATTCTACCGTTGGTCCTTTTTCCAAGTTTACACTGGGGGGCGAATTTAAGTCTCAAGATTTGTGTGTTCAACCTGTCAATCTCTCTTGTCTCTTATATGAGCTGACCTGATGAAACTCAGCCCTGAGTTTATCCAGCGCCATTCTAGGAGTGTCGACTGTGTATTCGCTGGGATTGCGAACATGGCGACTTGTCAAAGCGGACTCAAATTGCCGTCCCCTCAAATCACAAAGTCGTTGGAACGTATGTTTTTTATTTTTTGCAATGCAAAAAAGGAATATCTGCTAATAATCTTCAGTTTGATTTCTTCCATTGGAACTACCTTTTGGGCTTTGTCCTCGTCACACTGATTATTATCATTGGCTTGACGAGGGAGACTCCCAGTGTCCGGATGACGTCTTTGCCTCCCTCTCTTCTGCTTGTTCAAGTCGGCTCGACCCTGGTTATCACCGGAATTCTGGCCAAACTTCATGTACACCAGCCATTCCCGGTCTCTTCCACTCCCGCCGGTGCCGTGTTCCGTCCAGGTATCTTGGTCATCATTGAAGATGTCGTTGCTGTAGATGGCGGCAGAGATAGGCGGTATCGCTCAGCATTGATGGCACGGTATACCGCCAGCGAGCGGTTCCAGCGCCTCATTGCGGATCTGAACTGGTTCTGGGGACTGGGTGGAATGTGTATGGGTGTTCTCATGATAGCTGTACTTGCTTCAGTTCGCGACCGGACCTTTGCTTTTGGGCTGGGTGAGTTCATATTTTTCCTTTTCACGGTTGTTTTGAATCAATACAAGATGAACTGACAATCTAGGGTGGACTATTCCGTGGATATGGACTGGCACCTGGGCCATCATTACGACTTACTGGGCCAAGTCTGCGCTGAGGGAAGAGAAACGTACCTGGGCTGAGAGCAAGGGCACTGTGTGAACGTTGTTCTGGAGAATCTTTTATGAAAAGTCTAAAGATTGCCATCTTTAGATCGGTAATGAGGAAGGAAAGATAGTTACACCTATAAGTGGGCTCAATGTGTTGATTTAAATCAATGGTTAATGATATATATCTTAGGATGGTTTTGTTCAACTTAATGGAAGACCTATGATGGAGAGTTATAATAAGGAAATAGTTAATGTAGCATCTCCAGTAGATATAAGTATAGAGGCTGTAGTAAAGTAATACTATGCTTAGTATAAATATAAGTACTACTTTCTATAAAATAAAACATAAGGTAATAAATAATGAAGAAATCATAAATATCTCTATATGCCTCATCTTAATAAGAGATAACTATCCAATGACATCCACTGTGAGGAAATATATACTTTATATCACAACACTAGAGCTATTTCCCCAGATACCAAGATTAATATTAATTCTATAGTAGATTATTGAAGTTGTTCCCCCCACTCAGCCTCCACAATATCGCTTGGATAGCGGATCCCCCTACTCTTCATGGTCAGCAAAACCCCCCTACACCACTCCCATTCAGTCTCCCACCCCATTTGCCGGAACGCCGACAAGGCCGTCTTCAACGGAAAAATCATGGAATGCACGCCTAAAAATCCAGACTTCAACTGCGTGAAATACAGAACCGAGCGAGCAATATTACACGCACACGCCTCAATGATCGCTTCGTGTTCTTCAGGCGCACTCCCGCGCGGAGCAGCACCCGAGAGGCTGAGGCCACGCAGGGCGGCATGTACGTGGATGCGTAGGGCCCAGAAGAACGCCAAAGCGTCGGCGGCGCGGAGGTCGAAGAAAGTAAACGCCGTCGAGAAGGGGCTGGGCGCAATGTCAGTAGAGCGGGCGATCCGCTCGGCGGGTTGCTCCCAGTATGGTACCGTAGGGAACAGGGTGAGGATATGGGCATGCCAGGCGTTCAAGCGGTTATCGAGCTGCTGACACCGCTGCCAGGTAAGGTCTATATGCAAGCCTGGTTTCGTATGGAGCTCCTCCAGGATGCATGGCAGACGCAGCCCAATATCACAGAGTTGCTGGATGTAGTCTTTTGGTCTGGAGCCCCAGGGCTCGACACACCAGCGCTCTTCGCCAAAGAAGGTACCTTTGAGGAATTGGAGGCCACGAATCATCTAAGCTTTATTAGCAGGCGTAAATATTGAGATATTAGAAGAAAAAAAAAGAACAGGAATAGCACGCACTGCACTCTTCCTGGCCCCGGCAAGCAGCGCCAGGCTTAATTCACTCTCATACTGACTCGCACTGAATCCTCGCAGCCGCAGCAACTGTTCCATTCCCTCCTCATGACTCGTCCAGCCGACCACACTGCCCATCGTGCCCTCGTGGAACTCGTATATCCCTAATACCCGCATCGCGGCTAACGTTTCGTCCGTCAGCGCAGTGGATGTGTTGTGGATTGCATTCTGCAACGCTCGCAGCGCCCGTCCATGCATGGCCATTCCCTGCATCAGTAATGCCGTGTCGCCGTGGGTTTGCGCGATCTTAGTCATGCAAAGAGCCTGCAGGGCAACGGAGAGGACCGGACTGTGCCGGGGCAGAGAAATGGCGATGTTCATCCATAGTGTAGGGGGCTTGGGGATGTGGTAGGGATCGGTGAGCGGTAGAATCGATGAAGAGGGTAAAAAAGCGCCGAGAAATGTACTAAGCATCCCATCAAGATAGATCGCAGCGGGGTTAACCTGTGGGGGCATGTGCGTCGCTCGGGCCCGATTGCCTGTTCTCCGAGTGTCCCACGGAGCTGGCTCCCGGCACAGCTCCTGGCCTTTGCGAAGGAGTCCCTGCGGGGTGCGGTGGATGAAGGCAATTTCCTTCTGGGAGCGCTCGCAGTGGCGGCCGCCTTTGCTGCATTGTCCGCATTGCGGTTCCTGCAGGTCACACTATGGAAAGCTTAGCATCCATGCCAACATGTGGTGATATAGTATTTTATCAAACTTACTTTGATCTTCCGTCTCTTACATGTCTTACATCCCTTAGACCGACCCGGCACACCCACCATAGCTCCCTGATTAAACTTCTAGCTCAGTGGGCAAAGGTTAGATTCTGCAAATTCTGCAACGAGAAGCAATTGTGTAACCTGATGGTGAAACTTTCCTATTGCTTCGCTTTAACCTTTTAAAGGTTCCAAGATGCGAGGATGGAGAGCTGTGGGGGCGGACTCAGCCGCACCGATGTGACAGCGGTTGGTTGCACTCTGCATGGTACTATTCCATTTTTGGGGGCCAAGACGCGATATTGTGGAATACTAGCTTCATACTAGCCGAATTGGACTAGCGCGTGGTACACTGAAAGATTGAGGCCTGAGGCTCCAAGATGACATCCCCTTTTATTGTCTTCTAAACTACTCCATTCTTTTTCTTTCTTTTTTTTTTTTTTTTACAATGATGGAGTTGATCCCTTGCTATGGGCTGAAAGCTTGCTAAGAGCCGTGCCCCTGGTGAGCTATCTATATCAAGTAGTAAACTCTCTGACATACTACTAAGAACGGCGGCCCACAACCGCGAGGACCATTAGATGGAACCACTTACGGCTCTGCTGGCTGTCACTCTTAATTTCGACGCATTCATTCCTATCGAAAATAGTCTCATTGTAATTATAGTCCCTCTTGGCGATGGAACATCCAATGCCAGCGTCAAAAAATTCTCTAACATTGCAGCCTTGTTCAATGGCAGCACCAGCGGCATTAAGTAGAGTATATTAGGTTAATCGGCTCAATATACACACAGCCTAACAGCACATATGATCAATGAGCAATATATAAGCTATAGCCATTGCAATGCTTGAATAGAATAGGGTCTAGTGTAGTGGGGATCCCTCTACTCCGTCATAGAGTGATCACCTGCTACAGCTTTCTGACCAATCAATGAGATCCTATGGAGGGCAACCTCATCCCTTTGAGGATCTGATAGGTATGCGGCATGATCGCCAGTCAGGAGAGGCTATAATATAAATGGAGTAAAATGCCTTGAGCGGAGTGATCGGCCTCGGCTTGGGGGGCCTGATGTCTTCGCATGGGGCGATTATATCATTATAAACACCACAGTTGAGTATGAAAGTGCTCAACTAAAGTCAGCACCAGATTGTGGCCGTTTTGAGGAAGTTATTCTCATACCATTGTTATAGAATGAAGCTATATTCCAGTAGTTTAGAAATCTATATTCTCTCCAGTGACCCTAGAGTCGGGAGGGTGAATAAGAATGCTGGACGGACAAGGTTCATCAGGAGGAGGAATTTTCTGGAAAATTCCCTATTTGGATGATCTTAAGCCCTATAGACCCAATTCATACTTTGCATAATTGATAAACTTGGGCATTGATGCGTCCGCAATCTTTCCAATTGCCATAACCCTCTGGTTATGTTCCACAGTATGGATTATTTCAAAGTTCAGACGCGACATTCTATCCAATTTAATCTCACTTGTTGCAGGTATGACAGCGATGGGGTCTTTGACCATTGGGGGTTCATTTGGGCCTCTTTCAGGCAGAGTACCTTCCATATAGATAATTGAATGTTTTGAAGGATCAACGCCTTTCTTTGCCACGCCCTGTTTTGAGTATGTGGAAATAGGCCTAGTGCATGGTATTAGATGCGTATATACTATTGAAAAAAGATATAGGACTTACAAGCACAAGCAGAATCCGTTCCTCTCCTTGAAAACAACCATCCGTCTTATACTGCTGTAAATCTGCTGGCCGTAGAGCCCATAAGAAACGAAGCTGTCTGCCTGGGCAATATTTCCATGGGAATTCTGGCTAGAATTTTTATGCCAGAAAAACGCAAATACCTGCCATATATTAACAAAGCCCATTAACTTGATCAGGAAACGTACTCTGCCAACCCTAAAGAACTTCCTGGGGCTCTTCTGGACAATGAAACCTATGCATGCTCAATAAGTTGGCCAATTTTCCACACTTAGGGTTAACGTACGGGGATCCATGCTTTCCTTCGGGCTTGGGGCTCTTTTGAGGAATGCTTCATCAAAGGTTGCCTGTGATTCTTCGACTTTAGATCCACTGTATCTGAGGGAATCCACAATCTCGAGCGAATGATCTTTTATATGAAGTGGTGACTGTATGTGTTGATCACCTGTGCTAGATGGATCTCCGGTATATGCTCCTGGTCCCTTAAGGCCTGCTCGTTGATGATGTTATTAGTTGCTGCCTTTATATCCAGTGGGCTTAAGATTACCTTTTAGTTTGCTTGAATGAGGTTGTCGGGAACCCCCAGACACTGGATATTCAAACTGTTCTTCTGCAGGCGTGTATTGTAAGTCTGCTTGATATCCTAAAGGCTGTACTTGGTGACCAATTCGTAATGTCGTGTAGGGTTCAAGGCCGTGTGGAGAACCTATCTGCTCAGAACTCTCTTGCCCCGATTCATAGTAAGAGAATCGTGGATGAGTCGCTCTGGATTGCCCAGATGCAGTATTGTGCGACTGTGCTTGGTGAACCGCATTGGCGCCTTGAAATTTGGAACTTGTTTGAGATTTGGGAGCAACGTCATACAGTTGAAATCGGGGATCGGATTTGTCGCCTTCATCGTCAGAGTCTTCCTCTCCACCCCCCGGAATATACGATATGGCGATCTCTTCCATATGGTGGCACATGTGGGCGATAAAGGACTTTCTCCCAGGGACCTTTGAACGGATGGGACATTCGAGAGTGGAGAAATCTCGAGGCGGTGGGATGATATGGTAGAAAGGAGCCATATCAAAGATGGGCCTGAGAGTTCCATGGTCGTTGGACAGGTGCGATTCAAGCTGGCCGAGCTCCTGAAACTCTTTATTGCACCGAGAACAGGCATAGAAATCTTTGCGACTGTGATCGAGCAAATGGCTTTCGTACTCGGCTCGAAACGAAAAGGTCGTGCCTTGAGTCCAGCAGTTAGGGAAGAGACAAATGTATGGTTGCAGATCCTGAAGTATATGATTTCTGAGACTGGAGAGGTTTTTAGCAGATTAAGAAAGAGGGAGAGAGAAGGCTATAAGAAGAACATACCTTTGTTGATTCACAGTCAGACTCCCAGCGAAACCTTTTCCGCAGACCAAGCACAGGGATTTAGCCAGGGATTTTTCAATGAGTTGATGCGTGGAGAAGAAGGCAGTCTGACGGGTGCTGGATGAAAAGATTGATTGAGTGTCATTCAATTCATGAACCGATGACTGGATTGAGGAACCAATGCCCGAATCAGTGAAGATCGACTGGTCTTTAGGAAAGGCTGATATGCCCAGGTTTTGTATATCCAGTGTATCAAGGTCGGAATCCTGAAGGGTTTGGATCCTGAGATATCTTTGCCAGTTCGCTGTTGCGAGCCTTTCGACAAGGCGGACGTCTGCCTGACGAAACTCCTCCAAGATCCTCTTTCCCAGGTGGGACGCAGGACCAACCAAAGCAATTATATCTAACTTCTTGGAAAGCCTTTCCATCTCTTTGAGATTGAAGACAACCCGTGAACTATCTTCCCTCACTCCAACCAATGATTTGATTTTTGGAGTATTCAGTAGGATACCCAGCACCTTTCCGAAGTTAAGTGCCGCCGCCCGATCTTCTTGTGTAAGGGTGAGCAACCAACATAGTACCTCCTCCAGACACTCTTCTATGAGAGGATTCGATACTTTGGGAAGGATCTGAGCCATTCTTTTTAAGAGTACCATGGCTGGATAATGTCTGTGGTCCTTTTCTCGCTGTCGATAGACTTTTAGCAGCCTAAGATGTAGAATCATCTGTGTCGCAGCACTGGTCTTCATTCGTTTGGATATTAATGCTTCGAGCAGCATTTCAGCGACGTCATAACTTCCGGTTCCGACCAGCAGGTCTACCCATCCGAGCAACAGATGAATATACCTACTGGGTGAATTTGACATTTCGATCGTCTTTTTGACCTCCAGACTTGTATCATGTAAGTCTGATTCAAGTTGAAGTATCCATCGAACCCATTTGTTGGCTAATTCGTAGTCCCATAGAATGTTGCAGCAGTTCACAAGTTCCGTTATTGTAAGAATGAGTTCCGTCGAGTTGATCTCTAGAGATGCCTGAAGATCTGTCGCAGCCGAATTCAGCAATTTCAAAGCCTCCATGAAGGCTTTCCTGCGGGAAAATTCAAATCCCAAAACAGCCTTTATCTGCCCACTGACTTTATCCCAATCCCTCTCACCTTGAGCTATAGGAGGCTGTATGGGCATGATAGTGGCAAGAGTGATGATCTCAATTGAGGATGGGGAATGCGGTGTTAATGGAGACCACCAGGTACAGTGCTGAGATGCGGGCATTGCTCTACAGTTGAACTGCAGGGCAATTCCAATATAACCATTCGTTCTGGGATCCAGAATGTCCTGGTAGCTCTTCGCCAGACTTTCAATCTCACTGGACTGACCCCCTCTGTCGAGAATTTTGTGCAGGTCCACCAAAACCATTAAACATTTGAATTCTCTATGTTCCACTGCTCCACGTATGGCTACCAGGACATCATTTGTGAGCTTCTCGAGGTTTTCTGGAGCAGAGTTACCCAGATGCCGTCTAATGCGTAGGATGAGCTGAAGCATGCAGGACAGGTACTGGCCCTTGGAGAGTTCACTAGAGAGTCAAGTCACTAGCAGAAACCTCACTAGCAGAAGGGAAACTCACGGAAACCCATAGATATGCCCAATGATATCATTGACGGTCACAACGCTCAGCAAGGGGACACACGCTGACTCGATGAGCTCCCAGAACTGAGATTCGGTTTCTTCCCAGGCTATTTCAATATACCGCTCCGGAAGAGCTTGCATAACAATAGACAAGACATCGAAACACGCTCTTTGCAAGGCAGAGGGTGAACTGGGTCTGGGAACTTCCTGTCTCCATTCCTCATTGATCACGACTGTCTCCATGTACTCGACGTATTCAAAGTTCACGTCCCGCCGTCCAGGGCCGGTATTCTGTCGGTATTCCTCTAGGTGTTTGACATCAGCCTTGAGCCACTGTGGAACACCTAGTGCCGCGGGAAGTCTAAGAACCGGTTCGCCACTCGATGACCATTCGAGCTGCGGTAAAATAGCCCGTTGTAGGAGAAGAAACGGAATGGATGAGCATTCGAACTCTATGAGCAGTGCAGATAAATCATCGGAGAGCCTAGACCGAGTCCTATCAAGTGAAACCACCTGTCAGAGATCAAAAGACATTCAATGTTCGGGGGGGGGAGCTTCACTCATCAACCTGGTCAGATGCCTGATTTTCCTGCTCCGGAGTCATCGAGATGGATTCTTGAGGAAGAAGGTAGATGTCTATGACTAGAGCTGAGACGGGTGAAGCATTGACGGACAGAAGGTCGACGTTCTTTCTCAGCCTCGCGCGGGGTTGTTGTCACGTTATATGTCACGTTACCACAGCCTGAATGACTGCGACAGCCTGACCAACACCTCATCTTTTGTCCAGCTCCTTTTAAAGAAACAGTCCATCTCCACTTGTCATCGCGATCCACCTATTCATCATGTATGAACCCTCGGCACAATCCATGCGAATCATGGGTCTCCCACATGATACCACAGAGGAGGCTCTGAGTGATCTTGTGAAATCGTCATGGCAGCAGGCTCGCCAAAAGTCACCCCTTTTCCGTCGGCTACAGGGGTCTCCGGTCTACACATTTTCTTTGGCGCAGCAATTCGGGGAATGCGTGGCTACTATCACCATGAGCGATCGTCAATCGAAGACGGCAATCCTCAGCCATCTGGGGCCTGGGAAGTCAAATGTTGATGATTCATTTGATGGTATTACTGAGGCCACTGAGTGCTAGGCTAGATATTAGGAGCTATAAGTAAAAGGTCAGAGCTGGTAACATAATATAATTATAATGAGGGCCTATAAAATACCAATAGTTATCCAGCAAAGAAGGTTTTAGGCTCTTTGGTTTTCAACAAAGATATAAAGACTCCCCATGGCAGCAAGACCTAATGGGGAGTATCAAGGATATAGTACCACTACTCTACAGAGTGGGTTGGCATGTTTGAGCACCTTTTTAGTCAAGTTGGTCTAGCAGCCCCTGTCCTGTCAAGACTGGGTTACTCTGCTGAAGAAAATCTAGAACCTGCCGGTTGGAAGTTCTTGAGCCAGAATCTCCCTGGAATTTGAAATCCCGCTCAACAATCCCAGCAAGGTCAATTTATTATCGTTTATTTTATCCTATTTAGGGGATGGTGATGTTGTCACCTCAAGCTATAATTCACAGATTAGGGCTATGAGCTGGTGTGAGGAAATGGGGGCTAGAACATGGTTACCTAGTGCGAGTGCGTATTGCCTGTTTGAGCTGTCAGTGTGGATAGGCTGCAACATAGACAGAGCAGTGAAGGGTGTATGGCTATTTTTTGATTTAAAAATCTGATCTGGATATAATCATAGTCATTCTCCTTTCTAAACACCAATTTCCTGATAATAGAAATAGATCAGCCTAATATTTTTACTGTCTAGTATCCTACTTTCATCAAGTAAATAAACATCCCTGTCTAGCCGTGAGAGTACATTATATAATTGGAAATAGATCAGGAGAAGCCCAGCGAAGAGACTTCAACATCACACCATAGAATACTTCGAGTCTGATCGAGTCATCTAAGGTTATGAATGATTTCAAATGGTGGAATAACTCACATGGGAAAACATCGTAGGTCGCTGACTCTGTCTTGAAGCAAGTTGAATCAGAAATATTACGAGTGGAGTGACTATAATATCAACTGATCATAACTGACGGTATTATAGCAAAAAAGCATAAGTTGGACATATAGATGACTATTCCTAACGCTCAACCTTGCCCAGCTGGAAGGTCTGCTCATCCACTGTGATGGTATCATTGATGGAGTGGACAATGCGGCTGTAAACCTCCCCGCGATCCTCCCAAACCGCCTGGAACTCCATGGTCTGGTTTGAGCTCCCAAAGTTATACAGCGGCGCGGTGGTGCTAGGATCCGTGTTGAAGTAGTACGCTGTACCGGACTGTGTTGTTTTGAGGGTCGACCCAGAGACGACATTGCCCAGCACCGAGAGAGCTATCTTGCCACTGCCCGCCGGAGAACTGACGAGCTGGTAGGGCTGCAGTCCATCCGGAAACACCGAAGGTCCTGTAATGGTGAACTCGAGCCCGCGCGTGGTATTGCTCCACAGGGCCTCTGCTGTGCCATTCTCTGCGTACGTCCAGTTGCAGTTAATGGGATACTCGTAAGCGTTGGAATACCCGATACTCGCGCCCGTCTTGTCCAGGCCGATTGTGTTTTGGATGGTGGTCTGGTACCACCCGTAGTTGGAGAGCTGGTTGTAGTTTGTATAGCTGATCTCCTGGGACCAGGAGACCTCTTCTTCCTTGCCTGTGGCCGTCTTGATTGTGCTTGAGATAAAGAGGGACCGGCGCGCAGTGGTGGTCTCCAGCAGCGTCTCATTGTATCCACTGCCATTAGTCCAAATATGCTGAGTGGTCTCTAGCACTGGGTCTGGCGCAGAGACCGAAGGCATGCTGCCTGTGGTGATATGGTTGTCTTCATCCAGGTATATAAACACCTTTCCTGTCACGTACCAGGATGTAGTGGTGGTGTTGAGGATCGTGGAGTGGGAACCCTCGTTATTGACGCCCACTGCAGTTATTCGGAACTCGTGAGATTTGCCGTCAGATAGATACGGCACGAAGGCTAGTGGTCTGGTTAGAGAACATCATTAATATCAATGAATAACCTTACGGGTGATGTCAATCTCGTGCTCGCGCAGGTCAAACGCATCGATTCCTGCAAGCGGCTTCCACAGGCCAGGAACAATACCACCTGTGAACACAACAGGAAATGGCCAGGAGACTCCGGCCAGCATACCATCAATCCACACCTGGATCTCGCGCCACGGGCCATCGCCAAGTAGAGCGCCAGAGACGCTCTCGAAGGTGTCCACCGCATTGGAAAATACATTCTGGTACCACATCTCCTCATCGGACTGGCCGCACGCCGAGATACTGATCACAGCCCGCTTCATGTTCCGTGGAAGAGTATATGACACCGCGAGACTGTCGGTGGGCAGCAGCGCGACACTACTTTTGTTTTGCCCTCCTACCAGCATGGAGATGGGCAGAATTGTGTCGGCAGGGGTTGTTGCCGTCGTTTCAGGCACCGTGAAGAAAGTAGCAGTCAGTGTCGTGTTCAAAATGCCGGTATACACAGAATCAACGATGTTTCCCAGGTCAAAGATGAGCTTCTGCGGTTCTCTCCACAGCGAAAGGTACTGCTGCATCTCCTTGGTGTAGCTGTATATGATCCCGTCTGCTGTGGGCTCTGCCGTCGATGTTCTCCAAACCTCGGTGGAGTTGAAATACATGAGCGCCAGCCGATCATATTGTCTGAAGTTTAGTGAATACGATATGATAAATATATTGAAGCTAGAAACATAGAACGCACCTGCCCTTGGAGGTGAGCGTGAAGTTGATTACGACTCGGTTGAAATCGCAGTTAGGAGGAGAATACTCGCCTTTTTCACTGTTGGTTAGGCCTCTCTCCATGGTCTAGTGTCTAGGTCTGAAATACCAATATATGGACTTCCATAGCTGTTCGCAAAGTCATATTCCATCAGCGTCTGCGTCACTACGCATCCATATTCATTCTTTCCTGTGCTGCTCGGGGTCAACACAGGAGGGTGAACCTGAAAATCATGGAGGAGCCCATCATCGCATCGAGCAAGACAAGCCTGTAGGACGACGCTACCCAGAAGGAAAAAGAGCGCCATTATACAGCTCATCGCTTTCCAAGTACATGAAGACGTTCCCAGGCATTCATTTATACCAACTAGTTAGTATGTTCAGATAGCTTCATGTACCATATCTTAGTGACCAGCTAGTCATATTCTGATGTAACCGTGGTAGCTTTTAATCAGCCTAATTACCTTGCCCTTATCACGGCTGGTCATGATTTGTCCAGAGTGTAAGTAGCGAGGTCGCTAATCAGGCAATTCTGCACGGCCCCATGCCGGTCTCCGGACTTGCCCCTTAAATATCCTGCTATCCCCTCATTATCTGCTTATCTTGACTATACCACCCTTCTCTGCTTCGCTTAGAAGTCAGTAGCTACTATGGTAGCAGATTATTGGCAGACAGCGAAAGACTCCACAATCAGGTTCTATAAGTAGTAGTTAGTGACTGCTAGATACGGCAGGAGCATCACTATACCCCACTTAAGATTATTTATCTAGATATTGATATTTAGAGAGCTAAGATAATACCTAATTGTGGCCATTACCAACTGGGTTGATGAATAATTTATTATATAACTGATGATCTCTGAAATATTATTTCTCCATGGTCTTAGAAGAGTGGAGTCATAATTTAGCCAACTCATTTTATTATTCTAGTAAGATAGGTGATACCCTTTGGATAGTCCTATATTCTAGTGAGATTATACCTTATATTAAACTTAGAGAGATATATATGAATTAAAGATGCCTTCCAAGCTGGAAAGATTAAAAAGTGTGATATTTAAAGGAGACTTTTTATATCCAAAAGCCAATCCTTTGTCAAGGGCATTGATAACAATATGCTACCATAAAGGGTCCTAAGAGGTGGCCTGATTTCCAAACAGTCCAATACCTACCTGCTTTAGTCTGTCAATTTTCTGGGGGATATCGGCAGCGAAGGGCCGAGCAATCAATATAATGGGTGCCAGTTGTTGGCTTCGCGAGTTACTGATATCCTATGTGCTGATCATTATCAGGCATGCAAATCTCTAATACCTTGAATCTTCATATAATTTCTCATTTCCAGGCATGTATAGTTGCGCCTGCTTACGGTATAATGGGAATGGGGAAATGAAAAAAAGGAAAGAGATATATATTATTCTTAAGAACGCTATAGTTATGCTGTCATATGGACTTCTTAATCACTTAGATTTCATCGCACACTGAAAGGAATATGGGCTGGCGAGGAAAGATATAGAATTAAATCTAATATAAAAAACTTTAAGAGAAAAAACTTCATCATTTTGTTCTCCATTCGATATTTATGGTAAATACTAGCAGGTTTTACCACCACGCATCTATCAATGCGTCTATGACTACAGCAAAGAAGGCCGGCGTTGATTCAGCCACAGGAGGCCGCGACGTCAATCTATGAGGTCGATAGATACAGCCTTGCGCGGAGGGCAGATCCAGCTAGCTATCTGATATAGCGGTTGTCAACTTGACTGTCATGTGTTATTTATACATAAATACATAAAACTAAATATTATTATATATATATATCCACAAAAAGCTTTAATATCTTATATTTTCTTTCCTTGTAAGCTCTGCTCACCCAGTCAATAAAACCAAGCTCCTCTTTATACCCGAACCACACCTCGGGCACGCCCAATTTCCAGACCTCGACTCTCACATACTCCATATATGTTCCTTCCCTATACAGAGATGTGTGGCAGGGTAATGTGGCCGTGTATGAGCTCAGCGGCATAATGACAGATGATGATGATTGTTTGAACTATCTAGGAAGCGCGCAGGCGAGAAAGACGAGGCGAGAGCTAAATAGTGATAGGCTTGACTAGGGTGACAACTTCCAAATATATATCCATCGTCTCGCTGTCATATGTGTCTTGCAGGAATTCCGCGCCAGCATCATTATTTTGAGAGCAAGATCTGTATGCAAAACCCACCGGTGACCTTCTGCGGGAATCAGGTATCCGAACAACCAATGGCATGCCAACAATTGTTTCGAAGCCGCATGCCTTTCCCAGCTGCATTCTAAAATGGCCTACGTTGGCGCCCATTGGCTATGATACGGAGGACGAAGGTATTATCTAGGCCACAGCAAGCAAGAGCCAGTGGACCAATCATTACTACAACATCATATATAGTGGCCCAGGCTGTTTAGTAACCATGGTTCATAATAGTTTTTAAAGGTTATATAATAGTTATAGTTAGTTACTAAACTAGAATTAAGTAATAAAATAGTTACTAATTATTTTTAATATTATAACTATTATTTATAAAAGTAAATAATATATATAATATTCTATTATTATTTAACTATAAGTATATAGCTATTTTAAATAAAAACTTATAATTAAC